GTTTTCACACCACTCTGAGGTAGATAGCTTGGCGCGTTTTTTTTATAGTGGTTTCTCCAGTAGACCTAATCCACTCTCAAAATTTAATTCAATAATTGTTCGAAGTGCCTTCCTCGTGCTTGTAAGCAGAGGTCGGCTCTTCGAACAATTTGTCGCGTTGCACGGTGCGCTATTTCGGGGGTAATGGTGTTGAAGGCTGCTATGATCGCCTCGCGTACCTCATCTTCGGTACCATTGCGACAATGTTCTACCGCAGCTTTTATGTATCCCCAAATAAAGTAGTCCAGTACGTTCAAATCTGGCGAACGTGCTGGCCAATTGATTGGGCCGCCACGACCTATCCACCTGTCAGGATATCGCGCATCTAAAATTTCCCGCGTACGACGGGAATAATGTGCGGGAGCTCCATCATGCTGATAAATCAGCCTTAGCCGCGTTTGTAAAGGTATATCTTCCAGAAGTACGGGCAATTCATTTTCAATGAACTGCGCGTACGTCTGTCCGTTGAGACGCGGCGGAAGGAAATATGGCCCAATCTCAAAATCGACAATAGAGATACTGTATACAAGGACATTACTCGAAAAAAATTTTTCAATTAACAAAAATATATTTACCACTTTATTCGCAATTACGCTTGCCTATACATTTATCGTCCATCGATATTGAAAGGCGCACTGACGAATGGCGTGAGGATTCTCCTCTTGCCATATTAAAAAGTTCTGCAAATTAAATACGCCATTTGGCGTAAATGTGGCCTCGTCTGTCCACAAAATAAAATCGGGAAATGTATCATTTCGCCGACATTGTGCGAGAAATCCTGCGCATGTTTTATTAATAATTACTGAATAATCTACAATAAATTTAATTAAAAAAGAAAAATTAAAATTATAATAATGAAAATACCTTCGCAAAAGGTGATGCGTTGTATTTCGTCTCTTGGAAAAAGTTGTTGCACCCGTTGATAGTGGAATGGATGCAACCCATTCTCCTTTAGAGAGAAGGCACGACGTTTAACAAATTTAAAAAAAAATTTAAGAGTTCTAATATCACTTTTATAGTTCTACAATTTTCGATAAAAATTATAAAGTTCCGCATTCTTTATTTTAAATTAATCGAAATTGAAAAATATTTTAACTTCGCAAATCTAACGTCGTGTTAAATTTGCGAAGTGTCGTACTCCTCTCCTCTAATTCTAAGCACTAAAACACATTAAATACTATCATTTTTGGCAAGAAGCATTTTGGCAGTTGAACAGCTATCAGGAAGTCTTGCTACAAATTATAATATTTAATGCGTGTTAGTAATTAGGGAAGAGAATGTCGTGTTAGATTTACAAAGTTAAAACGATATTTTTTAATTTTAATTTTAATAAATTAATTTTTAATTCTTTTAATAAGAAATGTGTATGTACATAGAATCTTTTAATTTTTATCAAAAAACTATTAAAAGTGCTATTGGAACTCTTAGTATTTTTTTTAATTCGTACACAGGGAGAATTTTCTCTTATAATTTATACTTTAAAAATCATGATAATCGTGGGACAATTTGAAAAGAATTTTATAAGAATTTTTATGATTAATATTTATCACAATAAAAAATAAAAATATCTATCACAATAAAATATAAAATATGTTTAATTAATTTTACTATGTAGTTTATATAGTAAAGTTAATCAAACATGTGTATGATTTTCAGGATAAAGTCTAAGAGAAAATTCTCTCAGTGTAGAGCGTTTTGCCAATTCTGTAGACACTAGAATTATGTGAAGCAGAGCAGAATGCAAGTTGTAATCGTTATCTCATGTATTGAAATACTATACGATATTTTACGGAAAACGTGCTCAAACATTTTATACATATTATTATTTAATTATTAATTTATATTTGTTATTATTTGTTATTATTTTCATTATTTATTATTTTGTACTATCGGTTATCGAGTCTTTTGGCGCGGCGCGGTAAGACGCGGGAACGACGACGTAACCATGGGCAGTGGCGCGCTGCCTTCCCCTTACCGCGCGCCGACGGCCTATAATGGTACACACTGGGCCGTCCTACGGCTCAGGCGGCTCGAGCGCTTCTCGCGGCGCGCTCTTATTCGCCTGACTTTAACATTAAATATCTCTGTTATTATTGCAAATATCGCAAAATGGTATTAGACTTTTTTGTTCGTCTCGATCTCCTCTATCACCTCACGAGAGTTGTTAAGGGTGCTTTGGGACACCCTGTATATAATAAAATATGGTGTTAATACGTTTTCTGGTTATAAATTTGTGATAATTATATAATATTTATTATTTTTACTCGCTGTCAAATCTTCTCTTTCTTTGTATTGTAGAAAAGAATTTTTTACTTGCAGTTGTATCAATTTCATTACTCATGATTATAGTAATATCCGTTAATAAAAATCAGTTTACGATAAAATAATCGTAAGTGACTTAGTAATATAATGTGACGTAAGTAATATAATGAATGAGTTTTTTGTTATCTTTGTTTGTTTACAGTTCATGATTCTACAGTTCAGATTCGAGAACCTCTCTTCGGGCATGGTTTCTTTTCGGTCGCCTGGGTTGATGAGGCAGCGCGTATGTATAATGTATACTGCATCAATATACAGGGTGTCCGATAATTGCTGAATCACTTCTCGGATGCAGGTAGAGCGAGTTAAACCGAGTAAAAAAGTCCTCTATCATTTTTCGATTTTTGTAATAATGAATGAGAAATTAATTTAAAAATATCTACCAATTCGCGCGAGTTTAAGCGCGCGGTGAGAAGAGATAGCCCACTGTTACGTGGTCGCTAGGATGCGAAGATCTGACATTACACACCACTCGTACGTAGCCGTTGTCATTTGTAAAGCGCTCCTCCCAATACTTCGTCGCGCGCTGAGTAACCAAATAACAGTAGGCTGTCTCTTTTCGCCGCGCGCTTAAATTCGCGGAAATTGGCCGATATTTTTAAATTAATTACTCATTCATTATTGCGAAAATTGCAAAATGGTACAGGACTTTTCTACTCGGTTTAACCTGCTCTATCTGCACCCGAGAGGTGATTCAGCAATTATCAGACACCCTCTATAAACAAATCTTTATTAATGACGTGTGAAAAAATGAACCTTGACGGAAGAAAGAGTCAATTGTATTACGTATTAAGTATGCATTTGTCAAGGTAAAGTGATAATTCACGATGACTGTGACGATTTGAAATAAAGATGGTAATTAGTTGTAACTTTCGGCCCGATTTCCTGATTGACGTCTACTGTTCCCTCCTTGTCGCTTGCATGCTAGCAACGCGCTAACCAAACGCGCTAACAACGTCCGTACCCTGATGGAAATATTTTGCTAAAAGTACTATGAAATCAATAAAAAATAAAATAAAAGTTTTTGAAAAATTACTGAATATATTTCAAAATAAATCATAATTTTCCGTATGAAAATTTAATGTAATACTATGAAATATAAGGAAAGTTAAGATATACTACTTAAGATATACTATATAATACTAAAAAGTAATAAAAGAGTTTTGAAATAATTATCATTATGAATATTACTGAATTAAACTAAAAACTGTTACTTTTTAATGAAAAATT